TGAGCGCGCGCCACAACACGCACACGCACACACACACGTACACGCGCACACACACACGCACACGCGCACACACACACGTACACGCGCGCACACACACGCACACGCGCGCACACACGAGCACATACGCGCGCACGTGAACACGCACACACGCACACACACGGGCGTGCCGGCGTGTGCATGCACTTGCAGTCACATACGCACACACCAGGTCTGCAGACAGGCGTGTCTGAGAGCGCGCGCGCTGCACACACTTCGGATCTGCTGATTAAAGCCGCGAGCAACTCAGCGTGGCGGGCGGGAAAGGGAGTGAATCAGAGGATTACAGCCTCTCCCCTCTGCCACACCAGCGGAAAACAGCAACCTTTTTCCACATGGGGCCTGGACAGTGAGGTTAGGCTAAAGAGGAAGCAAAAGGGAGAGAAAAAGAAAAAGAGAAGAACCTTTCAGAAGGAAGAGAGAGAGAGAGAGAGAGAGAGAGAGAGAGAGAAAACTTTAGTTATTGATGGTATTAGAACACATTTAATTGAAAGAAAGCTAAGCAAATCACACAGGATCACCACAGAAACATCAAGGGTAAACCAAGGATGACCAGGCTTTGACCAAAAAACAAAACAAAAAACACCTTCCTTTCTTTTTAGAATAACTTCTAAAATGTAAAATCCATATTTTTAATAAGTTTTAAATTAATCAAATGGGTTTTAATTGAAATAAAAACAGCAAAAATGTCCTGGTGCTTTTGAAAGAGTTAAGTAAAGTCTGCTCAAGTGAAAGAGCTATCCCCTCTGTTTCTTCTTATTCAAGTCATAGGGCTTATTTATTGTTAAGAACACGAGCCGGTTGTACTCTCAGTGCACACTCTTGTTTCTGTAGGAAATAGGAAGCTGGAAGAGCACCCATAGTACGTATATGTACACCGCCTGCTCCCAGGCGGAGGGAACGGGTTTATGGAGTGTTAAGGCTCAGAGGGGCTGGGGCCTTGTCCAAGGACACAGCAGTTCAGTAACAGAGACGGTTTGAGGACCTAGGACTCTACACTCATAATTTTGCAGAAGGGACAGATTCTCTCCCCAAGTCGCCATTAGAACCTTAGCAAGAAAGTCAGTCGTGGCTCTTAGGCAACATAATGACCGCCTCCTCGGGTCAGTAGGAAAAAAATCTTTACCCAGAGCAGCCAGAACTAGCAACATCTTGCCTGCATGTTGAAAGCTGCTAAACAAAGATGCTTCTGAGAAGAGAGACACCTTCCTTCTGACCACAGCAAGCAGGAAGCAGAAAGCCAGCAGAGGTGTTAAGTGGCTGCTGCTGGTTGAATACTGTGGGTTCCATTCTGGCTAAGGCTGGGGCAAAACCATGGCGACAAATCAAACTGAACCTGAGCAGCCCACAAGTTAGAAGACCATCCTTCACAACCTGTCCGGGAATTTAGTTGCCAAGAACTCCCCTCATCAGAACCACAGTCCTTACACTCTCAGGTGAGTCACTAACTCATGGTAATGCAACAAGGCCTTTTTATGCCACTTTCAAGAGCATAAAATTGCATAGACACAGTAGAAAATATTGAGACATCAGAGGGAGGTTCTGCTGTTACCAAGAGGTCGCTGTTTCTCAAACAAGTCATTTATCAAAGGAAGACCCCTGACCTCAATGCTCCTGGGAAAAGACTCATTACATCACTGAATTTTAAAGCTTCAAAAAAAAATCTCACCCAGCCAGTATTGCTCAGTGGTTGAGCACCGACCTATGACCAGTAGGTCACGGTTAGATTCCGGGTCAGGACAATGCCAGGGTTGAGGGTTCTATCCTCAGTACAGGGCATACAGGTGGCAGCCAATCGGTAATTCTCTCTCATCATTGATGCTTCTAACTCTCTCTCCCTCTCCCTTCCTCTCTGAAATCAATAAAAACATATTTTAAAAATATTTCATTTGGCCCAACTCCCTCATTTCACAGATGTAGGAACCAAGGCTAGGAGAGGAGAGGTGCTTAGAGTCACACAGCTAGTGTCTCTGAAGCCCAACCCTATGCTGGAGGAATTAAGGAGAGCGTTGTGGTGAACTGAGAAAAGATTTACTATAGGGCATATGGTCCAAGATTGCACTTTTCCCTGAAAATCTATACTTATACCAACCACATAGTCTACAGCAGTAGTGTCCAATAGAACTTCCTGTGAGGGTGGAAATGTCTATATCTGTACTGTCCAATACAGTGACCACTAGCCACATGTGGCTAATGAAAATGTGGATCTAAAATTTAAATGGCATTTAATTTTAATTCATTTAAACTTAGTACAATTTCAAAGTATTCCATTGTCCCCATACAACTATTGAAATGTCCCCAAAGTTATGATGTATTGTATTTAATTTTCTCTCACACTTGGAAAAAGCACAAAATTCATGTTGGGCCATATAATCTCAATTTTTTTTTTGCTCAGAATATACATTCACCATATTTATCATGGGCTGCTTTAGAACATGACTCAGGTGAAGAACTGAGCTTTTGCTCTCAGTAGCACTAACATTTACTATTCCTTCCATCCTCCCATCCCACCCTATTGTGATATCAACATAAGAGCTAGGAGGAAAAGAGGGTTAGCTAAAAGAACTGGGAATAACTAGAACAATGATCTGCATCCCACAGTGCCCCTGTGTGGGAAAACAGCAGGCCACTCTGGGTAGCTGGAACACCTCCCACTGCTGCAGGCCTGTCAGTCACTCTGCCTGGGAGGAGAGGCAGAGCCCAAGCAAGCTGCTGCCTGCATGTCGCTGCCTGATTTCTAAAATTATACCAGGCTTCCTGAGCCCTGCATTATTTTAACAATGATGGTACATACCTCCCTCACCAACTAAAACCAAAAGCTATACAACTGTAATATAGCAAAATCAAGCTTTAACTATGTGCTGTACTAAGCCCTGTACTAAGCACTTAGATACATTATTAGCTCATTTGATGGTCACAATTACAATAAAGAGTAGATTTTTTGATACAGTCCCTATTTTACTTATGAAGAAAGAGAGGTTTGGAGGATAAGTAATTTGCTCCAGACCCTATAGCTACTTAGTGCTGAAGCTAAAGTCCAGTTTCTTCATCATTATGCAATCTTTTATATGATGCTTGCTACAAAGAGGTTATTCATTAAATGTTTTTAGTTGAATGAATGAGTGAATGAATGAATGAGCTAGTGTAGGAGACATCAGCAAACTCAAAAGACATTCATCACTTCTATTAATATAGACAAGAACATGTTAGCTCAAGTGAGACTTAGAGCAATAAAAGGAAATGTCATTGGTGAAAATATTGACTGTGACTTCTCCTTGTGTAGAAGATGTGTGAAATTCTCACCTATGTAAAATTTCACACATCTATTATGGGCCATCATTAGTGACTATGGAGAAGCAGAAAGGCAGTTTGAATAAACAAATAGAATTGTCAATAGAAATATTTTAAGTGACTCTCTGAAATAATTTCTTAATCTTCCTTCTGTTTTCTCACATTAACGAGTTTCTTGGCAGTAGTATGTGTTTAAATTTTCTATTGCACTTATCTTTAGAGACATCAGCATAAATATACACAAAAGGGCTCATATTTACAGGCAAACATCCCAAACGTGTCCTAGTTCCTAAACTGCTCTTTGTCCCCAGGCTTTTCTGCCCTTCCGCACCCTGTAATCTTCCTTAGACTGCTCAAATGTCTTCAAACACTCCCCTTCCTAGCATGTCCAATATGAATTCCTCACTCCCAGCTCTTAAAGCCTCCCCCCTTCCCAAATTGCCGAGGCTCAGGTTCGCAAGCTCCACACTGTCTCACAGATTTACAGGGCTCATTCTCACCTTCATGCCTTCACGACTGTCCCTCTGTCCGGAATGTCCCACCATTCTTTTATCTTTCAAGCTTTCATTTAAAGCAATGATCCAGAATGCATTTTAGACCTTGTGGGAAGCAGCCATGTCCATGGACTGCACATAGTCCTCAAGAGCAGTGATCCGTTCCTCTGGCATATTTGTTCCAACTTTATCGTCTTCTACTACACACTGCATTTGAAGTTTATAAACTCCATGCCATATTGGAACTAGTTTAGAAGAGCCCCTGACCAAGCCATCTGCTTGAATGCTCCTGACACGCTCCTCTCATTTTGCCATTTCCATCTCAACAGCCCAAGGTTTCACATCTAAGATGGAAGACTTAGCAACAAGTGCAGGTTTTTGGCTTTCTTTGACTCATACTGTGCAAGGCATTCTTCTCTTAGCCTCTTTGCTTCTTCACTTTCCTCCTCCTCCTCAGATCCAAAGAGATCAATGTCATCATTGTCTTTCCTATCTGTAGCTCCACTTCCTGGGGTGTCTTCCATATTAGCAGGGCCATATTGCCCAAAGCTTTCTTCACTCCTGGCAGGCTGGCCTTTTCCCTTTCGGAAGACTTGATGTGATTATACCAAAGTAGGGCATGATACAAGCTGGCAGGTATTGGGCTGGATACCACTTCAAATACCACATCTGCTTGTGACGGCACATACCCCTCGATATAGCGCTTGTCCACCAGGTAGTTGCTGAGCACCAGGAGGCAAGTGGGGATTTTCAGGTCTCCAAAACCCATGGCTTCCCTGATCCTGGAGCTGGGCAGCAGCAGAGGAAGGAGGGTGCAGGCAGTCTCACAAGGGCTAAGAGAGGAAAAAAGGCTGCCACACTTCTGCTACTCAGATCTTCACTATGCCTAATTCAAGTCCCACTTCTTTGTGAAACTTCTCTGACCACTCTTGATTTTGTTAAAATCAAGACAGATATGATCATAATCTGTCTGGAACACTCATCTCCCAGATAACCCATAGTTCATTCCTGCTCAAATGTCATGTTAGCTGTTTGGCCTTCTCTGATCACTCTAGTTAAAATGACAGCATCCCCTTACGCCAGCACTCCCAAACCTGATTTATCTTTTTTTCTTCCTAGCATTCATCCCATCTTGTATATTCTATGTTTACTTGTTTATTTGTTTATTGTCAGCATCCTCCTTCCCAGAATGTAAACTTCCCCATGAGGACAGGGAATTTTGTCTGTTTTGTTACTGGTTAATCTTGGGAACTAAGAATATTTCCTGATACATAGTAGATGCTCAATAGATATTGACTGACTAAATGAATGAATCTTCCTCTCTTCAAAATTCAAAGGTCATAGCATGTATGATATCATATGGAACATGATTCACATAATTTAGGAATGTGAATCTTTGTCTCTTTTACTGTATTTCCAAGACAAATATAAATAATTTCTGGCCCTGGCCAGTGTGGCTCAGTTGATTGAGCATCATCTCATGCACCAAAAGGTCACTGGTTCAATTCCTGGTCAGGGCACATGACCAGATAGCAGGCTCGATCCCCAGTAAGGGGGGGAGGGGGCGTGCAGGAGGTGGCCAATTGATGTTTCTCTCTCATCAATGGTTCTATATCTCTATCCCTTCCCCTTTCCTTTCCCCCCTCTCTAAAAAAATCAATAAAAACATATTTTAAAAAAGAAAAGCAAATCAATAAAAACATTTTAACAACAATAATAATAATTTCTGGCATCCTTTTATATTTTTCTCTCTTCATCAATGTATTCTTTCATTAATTATTCATTAATTATATGTTGAGCATCTATTATATGATATTATATGCCAGGTCCTATTCTTTTATGTTTTTATTTTTTTAAGCAAAAAAATTTCAAGAACTGAGATACACATAAATACATACACACACAAGCAAGAAACAAGACTAAAAAAAAGAGTAGTAAAACAAAGACTAGTAAAACCGAGACTCCAATATTAATTATGTGGGGACAGAGTGTACAAAGTGTGACAGACTGAGTGGGTAGGAAAAGGGAAAAAGAGACAGAATGGTGAGAGACTAGAGTAGGGTGTTGCCAAAGTAATCACCAGATGCTAGTGCTTAATATAAACTGAACCAAAGCAAATATGCAAATATATTTAACATGAATTTTTAAAATTTACATTTCAAAGTGTTCTGCCAGCTATCCTGCAGGTAAAAACTAAACTAAGACGAGCGACATCTGGTGGATATTTTGGAAGAGATTCTTGAGTTTCTCCCCCATGTCTCTGGACTGCCATTGATAATGCGTTAGGACTCCACATTACTAATTACACTCTCATGAAAGAGTCTTTTTGCAGGACTCAAGGTCTCATTGCAAGAGGAAGCCATAGGACCTTTCTATCTCCCAACTAATGTCCCTCTGTCTTCTTCGGAATGCATACAAAATCTGACACCACAATTCTTCTGTTAAAAGGTAACTTATTACTTAAAATGTTCACATCCTTTGACCTAGGGATTCCACTGCTGGGACTCTGCCCTAATTAAAATGGTCTTAAATGAGAAAATCAACTATTTTTTACAATGGGGAGAGTGAAACCTAACAGTTCAACAATAGTGGAAAGGCAAAGAAAATTACAGACATTATAATGTTTACCAAACATTTGTACCCACATTAAAACAAACATTTTAATAATTTTGTATCAACAAACATTAAGGTAAAAAAGCAAAAGTCAAAAAGTATGTATATATGACCTCAAATATGTAAATAATACACATGGAAAAAAAGACTAGAAGAAAACATTCTAAAATATTAAGAGTGATTGCTTCTGGATGGAAGGATTATACATTTTTAAAATCATGGTTTGCAATATTTTTCAAATGCTCTATAATTAACATACTTGTTTTTACAGAAACATTATTTAAATCTTAAACAATGCATTTGTTCTGACTAATTTGTAGAATTATTCAACCTCTACGTGGTTTTATTAATTTCAGATGAAGATAGGTAGAGTTTCCATAAGGGGAAGCAAGAAAAGAAAGCAAGCCCTGACTGGTTTGGCTCAGTGGATAGAGCGTCGGCTTGCGGACTGAAGGATCCCAGGTTCAATTCCAGTCAAGGGCATGTACCTTGGTTGCGGGCACATCCCCAGTAGGAGGTGTGCAGGAGGCAGCTGATCGATGTTTCTAACTCTCTATCCCTCTCCCTTCCTCTCTGTAAAAAATCAATAAAATATAGTCAGAATATGTATGTTTTTTTTAAAAAAAGAAAAGAAAGCAAATATATTATAATTTAGTTCCAGGATCTGAGTCCTTATGGAGAAACCCCCGGGCTGTAGAACTGTACTGAAAATCCAGTACTGTTGGCATGCTCCTCTAAAAAGTACACCAGAAACTTACAGAGGGCTCTGCTGGCACCAGGGAGCTACAGAGTCTCATAACCACATGGGTCCCCATCTTCACCGTCCCTAGAAGAGCCAGGTCAGGGCCACCTTGAAATAAGAGGAGGAAGAAATGTGTAAAAATACAGGACAGGAAAAAATAAAATTCCCAAAGCTAAACTAACCTAGTGGGGTCAGCCCCTGCCTCAAACCTACCAATGTAAGTCTAAGTATCAGAAATAGATGCTGGTTAACAGGAACTCCAGCCCAAGATCTTCTCATCACAGCGGGGCTATCCTAATAGCATTTAAAAAACTAGTCACTTAGGTTTGAATGGTAATAAACTAAAGAGTAATGCTTCCCTATCATTCGTGAAACAAGGATGCATTTTCCCTTCTCCTCACATATATCAGTCTAAGACCAGAGCAAGGATTCCGAAGACAAGCAGGAGGGATACTGGGAGCTCTGCTTCTGACATGCACTTCCCGTCTTCTCAGAAATTCAGTATTAAACTCGAAAGGCAGCATTCATATTCTGCGGCAGAAGTTTTTATAGCACTTTACAGTTACAAAGTGCTATCATCTACATCATCTTAATTGGCCGTCACAGTAAATAACTCTTGGAAATAGAGTTTATTTTATTGCCCCCGGCGAATAGGAAATAGGCCCTGCCAATTAGTGGTGGAGGCAGTTTTCTAGCCACCTCTACACTCGGTCTGCGCCAGGGAACAGGCCGGGAAAACAGTGACCAGGATGCTAATGGGGCCAACCTTTGACTACACACTACATAACATTCCCGGTGCTTAAATTTCTCACACTCTAGGAAGTTGATACTAATATTACCAACTTTTTTGTGCTGTATTCCATTTTCAGTACTCTATCCATCTTAAGCAGCCATCCCTCTGGAGGGCCAGCGGTATTTAGGGACGACGGGGTCCAGGTTGAGAAAGGGAAGCGCATTACCGCTTGTCTCCAAGTTCTGGAAGTCTGAGTCAGGAATGCACACTAAGAACCTGTGAACTCAGAGCGGGTTCCAAACTTCTGCCTCCTTCTTCGCCCCCCCTCGCCCCTCCGCGTGTCCCCAGTTCTGATCTGGCCGCTCCGCTGGCAGGACTTCCCAGTTACCCGCCGCCTTTCAGCACTTACCTCTTCAATCGTCGGTCGGTCGGTCTGGTTCACCATCGCGGTCCCCAGCCCTTCGGAGCAGAGCCTCGTTCAGCTACAGCGTCGCCGCTGCGTTCTCGCTGCCATGGTGACGCGGAGGCCCGCCCCAGCCAGCCTCCC